TATATATATGTATGTACAATATATATTATTATATATATATATATATAAATGTACAATATATATCTATATATATATATATATGCATAATGTACACGTACATCACGTTAATGAGTATATATTAAAATGTTTATTTGGATGTGTGCCTAGGTCAAGCTTTAAGCTTTCACAACGTAAATCGAAGCGGAAAGTGGAAGATCAAAATTGTGTCATTTCTATCGAATTATTATGCAAACCTGCACGCTTTCTTCATTTCCTCACAATCACTGTGTGGGGCGGAATGAGAGGCGTATGAGATATGTGGCTAGTTTGTTTCTAGTTTTATATTCCTATCCGGGAATGTACGGATCACGGACGTAAAACTTACGCTGTGAAAGACGTATCGTTTATTGGTTTTGAGACAAGCTCATCCTGATTTCAGATAAACACATTGAACTATTAGTTTTTTGTCCTGCATGTTCTGGTTACAGAAGTTGAAATTTTGAACCGAACGCCATCTATATATATGTGTATATATATAATATTATATATAGATATAGATACATATAGCGTAAATCTCACATCGCATTGATCGACTTCCGTAGTAGTTCCCTTCTAATTATATGATCAATGCGTTAACAGTTACTCCCATATCCCTTCTGAGAATTCAACATGAGTTATTGGTGGTCCAACGCTTATTTGCACGCATCCATGTAGCTCTGCATAGTGTATCAAGGCATAAGAAATGCTTGGGGACGGGAATCCCGTGTTGTGTAGAAGTGTTTTATGTCTGTATCGAAGGTAGTGTGTTGCTATGGAGACTGTCTGCTGGTCGAAGAGACCCAGACAGACTTTGAACACGGGGGCTTGTACTCGCGTATAGCGCAATGTGTGGTCGCCAACCACACGTACAGTTCTGGTCTGTTTAAATGCACTCGTAGGGTGTAGTTTGCAATACGTGTGAGTGCAGCTATAGCTTCTCCAGTGTATTGCTGCAGCAGTGCTCACCGTCCTGATGATATGTGCGTACAATGATAGTCATGCGGTTGGTTGTGGCCTGGTTAAATGAACACGTGAGGTAATAAGAAGTGGTGAATTGTTGATCTTAATGTGGTTTTATTTTACCTGTATCAAGGAGTGCAAATAAAATATGAAGCTGTATTTGTGCATTGATGTTCACTATATATATATATATATATATATATATTGTAGACTATTAGGTACATCCTTAAACCCTAGAATTCTATTTCTATAGACCTCAGAGTCCTGCGAAGACGATGAACTGGACGAAGAAACTCGAAAAGAGCAGAAACTGGAGAAAAATCGCCAATCGGCACGTGAATGTCGGAAGCGGAAGAAGGAGTACATTAAAGGATTGGAATTAATGATGAAGAAGTATATGGCTGTCAATGACTCATTACAGGTACGTTTTACAAAGCTACTATCATAGTATTACCACTATATACTGTTCTGTTATATATATGTGTGTGTGCGTGTATATATATATATATGTATGTATGTATGTATATATATATGTATATATATATATATATATATATATATATGTATATACATATATATATATATTATATATATAATATATTGTCTATCT